TCCAGTGGGGCCTTTCTTCCCATGGAGGTTTGGCGAGCCTGGGTGAGGGGCTGATGGCTGTTTTCAGGCTGGCCACACTCCCTTTAGGGTGGGGGGTCCACTGGGGTACCTGGCCAGTCTGGGTGAGGGGCTGAGGGCTGTTTTCAGGCTGGCAGGTGACTGAAGCTCCCAAACGCTCCTTTTTTTCTTTTTTCTTTTTATTCTGGGCCAGCTTTAGCTCGGAGGCTTGGCTCCAGCTCTGAGGCCTCTGCTGCTGAAAGCAGGTATCTGGTTTGTTTGGGTTCTATAATCAAAACACTGTTTCAACTCCAGCTCTGAGATCCCAGCTGGCTGAAAGCAGGTTTCTGGGGTTTTGTTTAGCTTCTATATTTGTAACAGTGTTTCAAGCTGCAAGCTCAGAGGCCGGCAAGGCAGGCAGGGAACGTTAGCTTCCTCCATCACTGAAGCAAGCAAGCCTCCTGTTCGCTTCAAGCTGCTTGGCTGCCGGCTGCCATCTTGGTTGGCAGTTAATTTGCATATCACCCTGATTAGCCAATGGGAAGGGTAGCGGAGGTACAGCTAATTACCACGTTTCTCTATTATTAGATAGGACTAGAAGCCCACTGCATGAATTTTGTGCAATAGTCCTGCCTTCCCCTGACTGCCGGCACCAGTTTTCCTCTAGCACATGGGACCCAGGTCTTTGGTCTGGTCGCAGTGAGGCTTGGCTTCTCCGCTGCAGCCGCAGCAGAGAAGCCAAGCCTCTTCAGTCTTCACTCTGGCTGGAGCCTTCAGTCTTCGTTCTGGGCCTGCGTATGCAAATTACCACCACCTTTGTTGGGTTAATTTGCATGGTGGCCATAGCAGAGTGACACCAATTTGCATGTTTCTCTTTTATTAGTGTAGCTAGACTAGAGGCCCGGTGTATGAAATTCGTGCACAATGTGTTTGTGTGTGTGTGTGTCCCTCAGCCCAGCCTGCATCCTCTCCAATCCGGGGCCCCTTGGAGATGTCCGACTGTTGGTATAGGCCTGATCCCACAGAGATTAGGCCTAAACCTGCAGTTGGACATCCCTCTTGCAATCTTGGACCGCTGGCTCCTAACCACTCACCTGTCTGCCGGCCTGATCGCCCAACTAACTGCTCCCCACTGCTGGCCTGATTGCTCCCTAACCGTTCCCCCCCGCTGGCCTGATCGTCCCTAACTGCCTCTGCCTCTGCCCCTGCAACTGTGGCTTTGTCCAGAAGGACGTCCAGTCTCATTAGCATATTACCCTTTTACTACCCTTAAGTATAGATACTAAAGTCTAACTTTGGGACATTAACCAAGTTTAGTCTAAACTGCTTCTTTGTTTTTGCTTTTCAATGACCAAGAGGTCTTTATTTACCCAGCCAATAAGCAGTGAACTGAAGAGACCTCTTCCAAGTACATCACAGGTGCAAAAGACTTCTGGAAAAAAGTGAAAGCCAACAAAAAGATACTGCTAACAGCTCATCTACAAATATTTTATAATGCCTTAACGCCAAAAAGATAAGATTACATTTAGACTTACTTGTTTGAATATTGGTATCAAAAACAGTTCCATCCTGTAGTGTTCCTGTATACCAGCAGTGAACAACATCTCCCTTTTTGGGGAAGTTGGTTTTATCCCCCTTTTTAAGAACAGATTTTGTATATTTTGGTGGACCCTAAAAACAAAGACAGACCATACATACTTATTAACTTATGTCCTTCTTTTAGAAGGATGACAGAATATTTATAGCCAATTGTCCCTGGTTGGGTAGCTCAGATGGTTAGAGCACCATCCTAATACATTAAGGTTGTGGGTTCAATCCCTGGTCAGGGCACATATGAGAATCAACAAACAAGCCGGGGCTGGTGTGGTTCAGTTGCTTGGGTGTTGTCCCATGCACTGAAAGGTTACCAGTTTGATTCCAGGTCAGGGCACCTACCTGGGTTGCAGGCTTGGTCTCCATTGGTATGCAGGAGGCAGCCAATCCTTGTTTCACTCTCACATTGGTGTTTCTCTCCCTCTCCCTTTCTCTCTCCCTCAAAATCAATTTAAAAAATCACCCAATCAATGCATAAATAAGTGGAACAACAAATACATGTTTCTCTCTCCCTCTAAAATCAATCAATAACCAACTATGCCCTAAGTCTGGTCACAGAGTTTCATAGATTTGGTAAACTCTATGAGTTGAAGTCACTATCTCATTTTAAGTCTGTGATGAGACTATTAGTACTATTAGTAGCTAGGATGTTTATAATTTAATTTCCAATAACTTTCAGCTTCTTGGAAACCAGTTTTGGTTTTTTTTGACAATTCTGTGAATTATTCAACAAACCATAAAATGAATCCAGTTATTCCCCAATGTTAGAAATATTACTATTCCATTAAAGTCATAAGGCATTACATAAAGTATTGTTACATTTTCTTAAAGATTTCAGTGGTTTTAGCATTACTAAACATTTTTAATATATGTAAAATTAGAATGAATAGTTGTGTTGAATTTGTTTCTGAACTTGAAGAGAAGTTCACACAATGAATGAAATTATCTACAGACATTACCATAACAGGCATATTTCATAGAACAAAGCAGGATTATCAAGGTCTCTTTAATTTTTTTAGACAAAGGCTAATCTAATCAATGGTGATTCATATATTGTAAGGAAAGCAATTTTTCAGACATATTTAATATATAGAAATTGTATAGTATAAAACATTTAGTAATGGGAAAGGAAGTAAAAGATATTAAACATCTATTGTTTACCAGTCACTTAACACGTAACATCCCACTTAATCCTAACAATCCTCAGAAGGAAGGTATCACCTACTTGTATTTTTGCAGATGAGACTGAGATCCCAGGAATTTATGCAACGGAGCTAGTGAGTAGTAGAAAATGAATATGAACTTGAGTTTGAATCCAAAGCCCCCATTTTTTCCACTATACCCAAGTAATAGTGATAATAACCTTTACTGATGTTAATAGTTAATATCTATTGAATGCCCTATGTGCCAGGCACTATTCCAAATGCCTTACATAAATTGCCTTTCTTTCACCCAGCTGGTGTCGCTCAGTGGTGAGGGTTGACATATGAACCAGGAGGTCAAGTTCCATTCTTGGTCAGGGCACATGCTTGTGTTGCAGGCTCAATCTCTGGTGGGGATGTGCAGGAGGCAGCCAATCGATGATTCTCTCTCATCATTGATGTTTTTATCTCTCTCTCTCCTCCCTTCCTCTCTGAAATCAATAAAAATAAATCTATTTTAGCCAAAACCGGTTTGGCTCAGTGGATAGAGTGTCAGCCTGCGGATTGAAAGGTCCCAGGTTCGATTCCGGTCAAGGGCATGTACCTGGGTTGCGGGCACATCCCCAGTGGGAGATGTGCAGGAGGCAGCTGATTGATGTTTCTCTCTCATCGATGTTTCTAACTCTCTATCTCTCTCCCTTCCTCTCTGTAAAAAATCAATAAAATCTATTTAAAAAAAATCTATTTTAAAAATTGCCTTCTTTTCCTACTCTATATTTACATTTTTATGTTTTTTTCCTTTAAATTTTTTTTTTAATTTTTACATTATAGTTTGCATTCAACATTATTTTGTATCAATTTCAGGTGTATAGCAAAATAGTTTACAAAGTAATCCCCCAATATTTCAAGTATCCACCTGGCACTATGCATAGTTGTTACAATAAATTGATTTAATTTTCACTTCTTTGTGAGGTAGTAACTGTTATCCCTGTTTTGCTGATAAGGAAACATAAGGGCAGGGTGGTTAAGTAATTTGCTTAAGGCCCTACAGCTCCTAGGTGGCTGAGCAGAATGGGAAACCAGGCAGCTTGAATATAAAACCCATGCTCTTAACTATTTTACTACCACAAGCACATATGGAAATCAGGTGTTATAGAAGTCATTTTCTTATGTCAACTCATTAATTTCACAGCAATCTGACAGTTTCTACCCCATCTTTTATAGATAAAAGTAAGGCCTGGATAGGGTAAAAATCCCTATCCACTTTTAAGGATTAGCACTTTGAACTAAAGCTAAGTGGCCATCCTAAATCAAAAGGAAGTCACATCTATAGCTTGAGTAAAATGTGCATTATAAAAGTAAACATTACCTTCCCCCCTGACACTCCCACTATAAGCTTACTTTATGGCACTATAAATGGTCAGGTGTCTACTGGTAGCAGTGTGAACTGGAATCATCTCCTTGGAATACAATTTAAAGATGTTTAGAGTGTAACAAGTAATTCCATTTATAGAAATATATGCTCAAGAATCTTAGGAAAAAAATCTTCCTGCAGTTACCCTATGCAGATATACTATTATCCATAATAGCAAAATAACCACATTTTTTGATAACAAAATTTTATATTTTTAATAGTGGAAAAATCCTAAGAAAAAAAGAAAACATACAAAGAAAAAAATAGTGGAAAAATTCTTAGAACATTAAGGGAAAAACAAATAGTTCTAACTACAGTCATGTCTCAACTATTTAAATAAATATATGCATAAAAATGTTAAGAGAAAACATTTTGGAATGTTAAATATGTTTATTTCAAGGTGTTGAATTATATTCTGTATTCTCTATCCTTTTCTGTTATTTTGTATTTAAAAATAGCATGTGCCTTAGCTGGTTTGGCTCAGTGGATAGAGCACTGGGGGCACCTGCACATGCCCTGACTGGGGGTGGGGAGCGATCGCACAACCCAGGTATGTGCCCTTGGCTGGGAATCGAACCCAATCCAGGTTAGATGCCCGGGTTCCAGGCTTGATCCCCAATATGGGACGTGCAGGAAGCAGCCGATCAATGATTCTGGGCCAACACTCTAACCAGTGAGCCACACCTGCCAGGGCAATAGCATGCTATTTTTATATCAGAAAAACAAATGGCTTAAAAATGGTTACTTGACAAAAATCTAGTAATACTAGAGGCCTGGTGCACAAATTTGTGCACAGGTGGGGTCTGGCTGGTTGCCCAATGTGGGCCCATCGGGCTGGGCTGGTGCGGGGGAGGGACCGCGGGCAGTTGGCCGGCTGGCTCCACACTCGATCAAGGTGTTGGGGGCCGATTGGGGGCTGGGCTGGGGGCAACGAACAGGTGGCGGCCGGCCCTGTCTCTGACCAGGGTGTTGGGGGCCAATCGAGGAGCCGGGCCAGCCGGGGGATGGGAGGCCGATCAGGCTGGTTGGCTGGCGCAGCGCGCGACACAGCCACCAGTCATTCCGGTCGCTGAACTTTTATATATATAGACATATCCCAAATTTGGAAATAATTTTTTAAAATATATTTTTATTGATGTCAGAGAGGAAGGGAGAGGGAGAGATAGAAACATCAATGATGAGACAATCATTGATTGGCCGTATCCTGCATGGCCCCTATTGGGGATCAAACCCAAAGTACAGGCATGTGCCCTGACTGGGAATTGAAGCATGATCTCGTTCATAGGAAGATGCTCAACCACCAAGAGACATCAGCTGTGCTGGGGAAAAAGGATTTTAATTTTTAAAAGAATTTTTTTTTTTGTTAATCCTCACCCAAGAATATTTCCCATTGATTTTCAGGAAGAGTGGAAGGGACAGTGAAAGACAGAGAGAAGGAAAAACACTAATGTGAGAGAAACACATCAATTGGTTGCCACCTGCATGTGCCCCAACCAGAGCCAAGGACCAACCCTACAACTGAGGTTTGTGCCCTTGACTGGAATCGGACCCAGGACCCTTCAGTCCTTGGGCCGACACTCTATCCACTGAGTTAAACCAGCTAGGGCAATAAAAAAAAAATTAAAGCTACAAAATGGAATGACTACATATATCCTATATAATAAAAGCCTAATATGCTAATTATATGCTAAGGCTGCTCAACCGCTCACTATGACCTGCACTGACCACCAGGGAGCAGACAGTCAACTGGTCAACCAGTTGCTATGACATGCACTGACCACCAGGGGCAGATGGTCCAACTGGTAAATTAGCTTGCTGCTGGGGTCCGGCCAATTGAGACTGAGACAGGCTGAACATGTCCGGGAGCCCTCCCGCAGTCTCACCCTAGCTGGCCAACCTCTGGTGTCCCTCCCCGGTCCCGATTGTGCACCGGTGGTGTCCCTTGGCCTGGTCTGCACCCTCTCTCAATCCGGGACCCGTCCGGGATGTCAGAGAGCCGGTTTTGGCCCGATCCCACAGGCCAGACTGAAGGAACCCACTGGAGCATGAATTCGTGAACCGGACCTCTAGTTTATTCTGTGAGAATATGTAAATTACATAATATTTGAAAGACGAGGTCTCATTAGTGAACAAAAACTACATTTAATTAAATCTTAATGTCATTCTATTGTTTTCCTATTTGTTGTTACATGGGCATGTTGTGTTATCTACATTAGAGGTCCTAGAATAATAATTCAAACACACATTTGGTGGTTATGGTTCAGTCTTAACAGTGAAGGTGCCCATCTGCCCACTAATAGCCTCCATTTCAGTGTTTCACAAAGTGTCTTTTATGGATCACTCATTCCTTGGCATTGCTAACACTGTTAGAAGAAAAGGAGTCTAATATAATTAAGTTTGGAAAACATGATTCAAAGTTAAATATACCTCCATTCTGCAAGACTTCTCAAAAGCTGTCATTAGCTAATAATATATACTGTGAATCTTAAAGTAGGAGACACACGTACAGGTTTTAATGATGTCAGGAAAACAATCGTGAACTTTTGGGACTTACATAACACACTTTGAGAAATGCTGCTCTAGTTATTTAATCTGATTTTGGGTTTCATTGCAAGAATCTGGTTGGTTCATGGTGAGAAGTCACATCAGTTCTTAGGCTGTTCTGGAGAGTTATATGCTTGAATGAACCTGGCTCTTAGGTAATTACCTGGCTTTGCAGCAATTTCTTAGTCCAAAGTGATGAAAAGAACTATATTCCCAAGATTGAGTCTGACCTAGGTACTTCTAGACCCAGAGATAAAGGGACTTTGAGAGTAATCATTCAATTACAATGAATTGGATCACATCATAGCCTCTAAAAATGAGAATATATTACCTAACTGTTCCTATTATTAATTTAATATTTGAGCATGTTCTATGTGTTAGAAACTAGAGATACACAGGTGAATTGGCAGACATGTTACTGGCCCTCCCTCAAGCAGAGTATAGACATGTCTATAATTACATATGTTGTAAGACCTGTAGAGGAAGCACAGGATGCTAAGATAAAGTGGATACAGAACTGACAAGTAGGAAAGTTAAAAGAGGCACTAAGTAAGTAATAAAGGATGAAAGTGGGAAAGGGCAGTTTTGTAGACAATGAGCAGCCATTTGTGGCTGAAGAGTATTTCTATAGAAATAGTAAATCTGAAGTTGGGCAAGGTCCAGACACTGGAAGACTATGAATGTCATGCATGTTGCCCAGTAGAAATACAATGAGAGCCACAAATGTAATTTTCAGCTGTTTAGTTCCACATTAAATCAATACATTCAACATATTTCAACATGTAGTCAATATAAAAAATATAAAAAATACTGAGGTTTTTATATCCTTAAAAAAAAAAAATCGTACTAAGTCTTCCACAGGCCAGTGCTCTAATCACTGAGAAAACCCAGCCAGGGCCCAAATGGTTATTCTAGTAAGTTTTCTAAAGTAATATTCTGCAAACCATACCATGCTCAAGAATCTTTAGTAAGTCTACCAGTCTAGAATTACACTGTCCCGTTCAGTAGTCAATAGGCATGAACAGAGAAAGCAGACAGCAGGAATCAGCAAAGTAAATCTGTATTTTAAAAAAGCATCTTATACATTTTTCCAGGTGCTAGGAAGATAATGAGAGCACATAATTGGGTTCAGGCTGGCCAGCTAAATGAAATGAAAAGAAGTCCTGCCCTAGTTGGTTTGGCTCAGTGGATAGAGAGTTGGCCTGTGGAATGAAGGGGCTTGGGTTCAATTCCATACCAGGGTACATGCTTGGGTTGCAGGCTCGATCCCCAGGAGGGGGCATGCAAGAGACAGCTGATCAATGATTCTCATCATTGATGTTTCTCTCTCTCTCTCTTCCTCTCTGAAATCAATAAAAATATATTTTAAAAATGTCATTAAGAGGAACATGATCACAAAACCCTGAAGGCTACTATTTGCAAATGCAAGATGAAAACCGGTGGGAGTAACTCAGTTTATATGACACAAGATTATGGTCAAGAATAGCAGTCACTTACACTTTATTTTTAGTTGTTCTGACATTAACTCACGGATCCAAAAATAAATAAATAAATAAATAAATAGGTCTTAAATAAATAAAAGGAGATAGTTTAGGACCCTCACAGGATCTCTCTGGATTGTCTTCAGCCCTTACTGACTTTTATTTGTAAGTCTCTTTTAACCTTTTAATGATACACTTCCCTTATTCTAATTTTCTGTAAGGTAAACTTTGTTGCCAATTGCTTTGCAACCCTTTTAGTAATTATTATACCTCTATTTACCTTATTAGCTGCTCAATATTTGACTAGTATAACTTGTATTAAATTATACACTTGTGATAAACCTCAAAATTGCTGTGTGTACCTTTCCACAAACATTAATATTTGCTTTTCAACCAACAGGAAAAGGTTTTGCAAATTAACTAGCTTTAGTCATAAAACATTTACACTTCTATACCTGATCTTATTTATACTCTTTCCACTAATACCCAAATGCTTCACCTTATTAATAGGCTACACCTCTTTACAATAACTAATAATATTTTTATTAGGTTATTATCACTGATATTAAGACTGCTGGGAATGAGTGGCAAGATCATAATCAGTTCGGTTCTACTGAGGCTGTTCTAAAAGTTGTCCTTAGCTCCATGAAGGCTGTCCATTTGCAGAAATGATTTTATCTGGGTCTTCACATCTTTGTACCAATATATAAAACCTGGGTTGGTAAAGATTGGAAGATAAATTTATACCCTGCAGGCAGGACTGGACTATTTCTATTGCCAAGGACACTATGTATATTTGAAAAAGCTAAAAATAACCAAATGAAGTTTCTTTCACTCAGTCCAACTTGGCTATAGAATGAGGATCTTAAAATAGCTTTGAAAGCTCAGAAGTTCTGGACAGACATAGAGGAAATAGAAAAAGAAAAGCTAGGCCTGGCCAGTGTGGCTCATTTGGTAGGAACATGATTCCGTACACAGAAAAGTCCCGGGTTTGATTTCTGGTCAGGGCACATACCTATCTTTAGGGCCCATCTCCAGCCCCAACCAATCGAGATTTCTTTTTCACATTGATTTCTCTCTCTCCCTCTCCCTCTTTCTCTCTCTAAAAATCAAAGAAAATATCCCAAGGTGAGGATTTAAAAAAACAACAACAAAAAAAGCACAAAGCTAGAGGTATATCAAAGGAAAGGCTTTCTGACTGTAAAGCACTGGTTCTTAGGCTTCCCCACCAGGCCCCAACAGCTTAGGCCTTTTTCTGATTCAGTACACCTAAGGGAAATACACTACAAATTAGTGTTTGGCTTACTGTTAAGTGGCCATATTAAACTGCCCCTTATTATGAGAAATCAGGGCTGCAAAATAAATATTTTTCTCAAATTCACATAAGAACTAAATAAGAAAATATTATATACAAACCTCATCCAGAGTCTCTTCAGACTTGGTTTCTTTGGGTTTATCTTCATTAAGCTTCACATTTTTCACCTGCTCAGACACTTTATTTATACTTTCAGTACCCTTGAAACGCTGTAGGTAAAATATTTTAATGTTTATCATATTCAGGATTGGCTAAAAGCTAGGAGAGACATCTAAATATGCAGCTTCAATTAAATGAACATCTACCTGTACCATGAATATAGGCTACACTACTCAAATGTAAATAAATAGAAATTGCCTATGAACAAATTATCTTATGTAAAGCATTTTAATCAACACATTATGACTCTCAAACCATCTCACAATATAAATTCAGAAAGGAGAATCATAACTTAGAGATATGAATATTACTCAAACTCCTTAATATTCTTTTCTGTGGGAGATGGTCATCTCATAGTGAACACATAGTGGGGAATATCTTAAAATTTGGTTTTATAAAGGCTCAGCATAAGTCTAACTTACTTTAAGTTCATTAATAAAATGGGACTTACTTTGAATTTATAATTTTTCAGTGCCCTTAAGAATTTGTTTGAAAAAAAAAAAAAGAATTTGTTGTCTTAAATGACAAGAGAATTATTTTAAAAATCTGGTCCCTTTCAAAATATCAAAACATTCTGCTAAACTGCAAACTAGCCTCACTAGATTTGACAGCCAGTCTATTTAGGGTTACAATTAAGAAAATTTGCAGGTGTAAAAACTTCAACATATTCTGCAAATAAATGCATTCAAATTTAATTTGGGAAATATTCAAAATAATATTCTTGAAATCTACACTAATAAAAGAGAAAGATGCAAATTGACCATACCTTCACGACACCCCACAGCCAATCAGGAGTGAGTATGCAAATTAACTTGACAAAGATGGTGCGTCACTTTGCATACGCAGGCGCCAAGCGGCCAGGGGTGGGACGGCTGCTTGCCCGCGCGCTGGCACCAAGTGGCCTGGGTCCTGGGGACGGGTGTCCTCA